TTTATATAAGCAAGATTACATATTTCAATAAACATTTATTTCATATTTCTTAAATCGCTCTTCATAATTTATATTAATGAGAAATAATCAATGCATTCTTATGTTGATTAACATAAGATATTTTAGTCAATTTTTTTATTTTAAGACATGATTATTATGTTTAACTAACTTTTTTAAACTATGTGAGATATTTTTTTTCTTTTATATATAAAAAATGGAGAGAGTATTGATTTGGTAGTGACCAGCATTTTATGTCATTCTCGAGGGTGGTTAAGGATTATTTCTTTCATTTAAAAATGTAAGGTATTTTTTGAGAAATTGAATATTTAAAAATATAAAATATTTTTAATCTTTTTAGATATAATTATTGCCTTTTTTTAAAAGTATCCCTATTGATAATAATTTTATATTTATTATAAGGTATTTAATAGGTGTAAATATGAAAAGATAAGGTTAGTTTAAAAATAGGTAACTATTTTATTAGAGGTAAAATTCGATTAAAAATATTTTATATTTTTAAATGGAGGGAGTAATAAATAAGAGGCCAAATTAAAAATAAAATATGAAATTGAAAGTCAAAATTTATTTTAAAATTTTTCATAAATAAAAATCTTAATTTTTGCCAAAATATTATTAAAGGGTGGGGGGGGGGGGGGAACGGAAATGCTCCTTCTTCGGTTCTTCGCTCCTATGATTGCAAGCATGCGAGGCGTCATCTGAGTTTCCTAAACATTTAAAGGAGGAAAATGTTTTGAAAATTAGAAGAATTTAAGAAATCAAGTTATGAGAAATAAACAAGACCAAAAAAAAAGGAGATAAAATAGGGAGAATTTATCATTTACTTCAAACTTATAATCATTTGCTACATATTATTTATAGGCTACAAGTTTTTAAATTTTATTACAAGAATTATATACAAAAAATAAATTTACATAGTTGTAAAACATATAACATACTCTTTCTATTTTCTATTATAAGGCACATTGGAAAATTAATTAAGTTATTAAATTTATCTAAAAATAAAATAAATTTTCAATTTTATCCTTATTTAAATAAAATTTTTTAAATTTACATTATATTTTATTTTATAATTAATAGGTTTAAATATAAATAATATTAGTAAAATATAATTAATACCTTGAAGTATGCCTTATATTAAGGATTAAAAAAATACTTTTAGAAGCTACTTTATGATAGAAACCAAAGGGAGCATGTAGTAATAATGAGAATCTCCTAAATGACCATTCATATTATAAGTTATTAGCTTTAATGGGAGAATTCCAAAAGATAATTTTTATAAAGTCACGGATATCCACACTAATATTATAACAATATATATATATATATATATATATGATAGGCATCTTTTTCTTCTAATATTATCAGCTTTTGTATTAATATTTTTTTGGAATCAATTAATTCATAAAATGTTATCCAGTTCATTCAAAATATCAAAAAAATATAATATACTCATCAATTTTTAATCTTTTATTGCTAGATCCCGGTATGAGTTAGCCGGTAATAACAATCATTTGACTATGTGGGCTACCAAATAGATATATATATATATATATATATTATAATTTTATTAATATCATTTAATTTTCTACACAATTGTACCCGCCACACAATATACAGATTTTTTTAAAAAACAAAAATTAACGGAGAAGATTTGAGCGAATTATCCTATCATAATCGAGATAGATCTCAGTTTCCTTTGTGTCTGGGACTGCTTTGACATGAATTAAGGTTTTTATTCCATAGCATCCCCTCTCTACAAAATTGCATCTTCCTCCAATATTTTTGCAAGAAATTTTTTCATGAATTATCATCAAAATATTATTTGCTCCAATCTTTATGCTATACTTGGCAAGAGAGTAAAGTGAGGAGGAGAAACAAGTGAAAGAGAAAAGTGGGAGAAAATAATATTTTTTCTCACTTGACTATGGAAAGAAAGGTGTAAGAGAGAAAAAAGTGTGAGAAAAATAATATATGGGATCTACATGTTTTTATCTTCAACTTTGCTCTCTAGATATGGAGAGATTTTGCTGAGAAAATTTCATTCTCAAATTTACCCATCAATTTTTTTATTACCACCTCTTATTTCTCTTTATTTTTATCATGATATTTGTAGTGTAATTATATTTTGATCATAAATTTTTATTAAATAAGCAGTATATTTAATTTTTAGACTAATTAAACGTATACTAATTCTAAATTTTTAAGTTAATTTTGGTTTAAGTACTTATATTTGGTTGTAGTTTTAAATTTTAATATTATTATATATTTAATGATTTAATAAATAAAATTTTGAATTGGATAAAATAATTTTTAATTATATTTTTGTTTAGTAAATAATATATAATAAAAATTATTATATACATAATATGTTAAAATATTAAATTTTATTATATAAATATTTTTTAAATAATAAAATTGCTATCGTTCATATAAAATTAACAATTTTTTTTCAGTTTTTTCCCGCTTGTAATGAGAGAAAATTACATCCCTCTCATTTGCTCTCCTTCCATTTTAACAAATCATCCACAAGCTTGTTATTCTATTATTAGGCACGGTCGAATTTAATATTTCTCATGATTTCTCTCTTTTTCTGACTGCATATTCTTTAAACTTTTATAATACTTATGTATTGCAAACTCTTGAAAAACATTTTTATTACGTTAACCGCAAAACTTAAACCCTATTGTTGGTTAAGTACATCTTTATCGATGGCAGTGACTTTTTTTTAATATTGGACTCGGCTTGTCAACTACCAAAATTTAAAGCTTTAGCTTTTAGGCTTTAGTGGTTACAGATTCGAACCTTTTAGATGGGCGAGTCCTTAACTGACATAGCTTGTTAGCTGTACAATAAAACAACAAACGCGGCGCTGAGTAATGGATCAACCCATGGGATGGACCGAAACTACCCATCCAATTATCAAGATAGTTCTCCCTACAAAATTTTTAAATAAAATCTCACAAACTAATAAAATATATTAAATATATTAAATAATTTTATTTTTTTAAAATAAAAATAAAAATTTTAAAAAATACACATAATTTAATATATTAAAAAAGGATGTAAATTAATTATATAGAAAAAATAATAATAGAAATTAATGCATTTAATAAAAAATTAATCTATTCAAAGTGTTTTATATTTTAATATAGAAAATTTTTCAAAAAGGATCACATTTGGTGCTCATCAATGCTAATAAGCATCGTGCTCATCATCCCTATGAGATGATCTGGGCCCTTCACTTTTTTCAAATGATGTCGGCCTTTGATTTAAATTATTTTTAAAATATTTTTATGTTAAATTTATTAAAATAAAATTTATAAAAATATAATATTAAATATGAATTGTTTAGAGTTTATTTAGATGATCAATTGATTAAAATTATAAAATGTTAATATCAAATTGGACTTTTTAAATTATATTTGTATTGTCCAGATTACATCTGGATAGTCAATTTATAAAATTTATTAAAAATAATATTAAATTGAGTTATTTAGATTAAATCTGCACTGACCAGATTAGTGATAAATAAATTTATTAAATGCTTTTATATTTTTTACATATTCTTTATTTTAATAAATGTAAATAAAAGTAAAAAGTTTAAATTTGGAAAATCTAGATCTTATCAAGAGTGATGAGTACTGTAATATTTATCCTCTAATAGCATAAAAAATAATTCATATTTAATATTATAATTTTTATATATTTTATTTTTATAAATATAATATTAAAATATTTTAAAAAAATTTTTAAATCAATGGCAGGGATCATTTGAAGAAAAATAAATGGTTTAGATCTTTCCACATCAGTGATGAGCATGCAGTGCTCATCAGTTTTGACGAGCACCGAATGCATTTTTCCTTAAAAGGCATCATATAATTTGAAATAGAGGGAGCAATTTAAAACACACACTCACCCTCCCTCCCTCCTTCTCTCCCCCTCTCCCCACTATATTTTTTTGTCAATATCAATGCTATTAGAACTAGTTCATGCATTGAACGGGTAAGAATACTAGTTTATTGAATTATTATTCAACCGGTCACAATTAATTTTTTTTATTATATTCTTATTTACAATGTAGTGAGAGTGGTAGGGAACATATAATGAATGAATAAAGTTATTGAACTAAATCTTTTTATTAACAACACATTTAAATATTTAGTCATTGATAGAATACAAAGATATTGTACAATATTTATATAGTTGACCCCACTCAATAAATAGGCTTATTATTGTGGTTGTACCCTTATTTACTCTAATTATTTCAAAACTATTTTCATTAAGCTTTAAGGATAAATTTGGTAATGTGACAAACATTTTTATAAATACTTCAAAAGCCATACTCCCTCCAGTCACGTACATAGGTTGTCTTGTAAAAAAAATTGTGATCTGTAGAAACTACAAGTCATTTTTTTAAGAAGTGGCGTAGCATTAATTGCTTGACTCTAAATTTGTCATTCTTCTCAATTTCTAATGAGAAGATAAAAAATGTTCGCTTTTTAAATTTATGATATTTATTATGGGCTGGAAATCAAAATAATTTTTAAACAATTTCAATAATGTAACTAACTTTTCTTTATTCCCATAAATTAATAATGTGACTCATAATGAGGAAAGGGTATATGTTTTGAAGCAAATGGAGTATATGAGAAGACATACGTCATTTTCTTATTTTTATTATACCTCTTTCTACTATCAAATTTTAATTTTTGGGCTTGTGTACGTAAGACAACACAATTTTTTTTTTTTTAGCTGGTAAATGTGAGCACTCCTTACTATGGGAATAATTCGAATCAAATTATAAAATACTAATTCTTTTTGTTAGTCTCAATTTATTTTGTTGGTTAGAACACTTTTGCATAATTCAGAATTTCAAGAAAAATCTGTGTGGCCCACCATATCCTCTAAACTAAAAGGCAACGTAAGGTGGCAAATTAAGAGCAGTCCCAGTTAGATAGAGCTCAAATTGAAACCCTCCAACAAGAATTCAAAAGGTCCACGTCCACTCCCTGATATTTTCCTATTACCATTTAGATATTTAACCATTTACGAGCCCTAGTCACTTCTTAGTTCTTATACCAACTTAGCCAAACCGTATTTTGCAACAATGGCGTACGTTCCAGATAGAGATGACGACGACGACATTAACGAATGGCAACAAGTTCAACACCCATTTCTTGAGGAATCCCCCTCCACTGTGCACCAATCGAGAGTTGCATCGAACAATTTTGTGATTGAGGACAATTACCTTCTTCACGATCGTCGATCTGCCACTATAACTCCAGCAAACCCTGAAGATGATCAATCCTCATCACAGCCATCTTCACCGGCTTCGGCATCGTCGAGTTGTGTGAGTGACGAGGATGTGATTCCGATTCCATCGCCGACGCAATCGGAATGGCGGCTCCGAGTGGCCAGTGAAGGCTGGAAGCTATTGAAGGTGCGGTTCGAGGCGATTAGAGACGGTGTTGTTAGGGCGGCTTCTAAAGTTCGTGATTATGCCATATGCCTGGGGGCGTTTTGGTCAATTACGTGCATAACTGGAGTGGCGTTGGCAACGGCGGCGTTGTTGGTTTACGCGGGGATTCAACGTGGGCGCCGGCGCCGGCGGCGGACGCTTCCTCAGCAGAGGATGGATCATATGGCATGCCTTGTCAGAGAGAGAGACGAGGTGAGGATATGAACGGCAATAATTGATTTTCGACCTAACCGTCTAACCCCCGACGCTTCACTATTATGCACCGGTCATCCCCCACATACTCTGACACATCCACAAACGCTATTTTTCTGGGAAAATTTTACCCGGCTCTTGACTAAATTTAATTTCAGTTAAAACTTTTAAAATTATAAAATTTTAGAGTATATGTAAAATATTGAAATGAAATTAAAAATTTAATTAAAATAATTTTATTATCTGAAGTTAGAAATATGAATTACTAATGCAGGAAAGGAAATCAATATACATGAGTGAAATTTGCAACTTTTATTAACAATATAATATCATTATTAATATAAACAAGTGAAGTCAAGCACATGAAGGAAAAATAAATAATTGATATATAAAAAATAAATAATTAATATAAGTAAAATTAAGAGTTATAAATCTATAATGGTGTTATGCTGTTAGTGAGAGTTTTAAATTTTATTTACATTAATTATTTATTTTTCATACATCATTTGTTAATTTTTCTATATGAAATATTCATGTGCTTAGTTTCACTATAAATAATAAAATTATTTCAATCAATTATTTGATATCGTTTCAATCCCATATAAAAAATACAGCATATTATAAAAAATACAATAAAATACAATGTCTTTTGCCAATATAAAAAATACAAAGTAGATTAAGAGAATTTTAATATAGTAAAACTCATTAAGTTATAGTTTGTGGATTTTTTTGGGAAAATTTATTATATGTTTTTAACTTGTTATGAAAAGTTCAAGGAAAGAACATTGATAATGTTTGAGAAATTAAACTTTACTCACTTTTAAAATTTAAAAATTGAATTATCAATATATATATATATATACATATAAGGAAAAATACACTCAACTCATTTTATCTTAATTATAGAAACCCCCAACCTATTTATAAAACTTATACAAATTTTCATTCAAAATCACGAATAATATAACACATGCTTCTCTTTGATTTTTAAGATTTTTTTTTATCCATCCAAGTTTCAATCATTAGCTTACAAGGAAATCATATATTTTGAAGTAAAATATCTCTATTTAATATAAATATTATTTAAGGGTCATTTAAACTTTAAAAAATAATTACAATACACACATTTCTTTAATTTTTATATTATTTTACATTCTTTATATGATAATTTTTAATTTTTAAATATATATATATATAAGTAAGAAAAAATAATGTTGCAAGCACATGTGAATAAAAAAATTAATGAGTTAGGACTTTAATATAATAGGAGATAAGTTAATTAATATTCCCTCCGTTAAAAAATGTAGGATATTTTTTGAAGAGTTGAATGTTAAAAATTTGTAAGGCATTTTTAGTCTTTTAAGGTATAATCATTTTTTTTTCAAAAATATCTCTATTGATAATGATTTTATATTTATTGTAGGGTGTTTAATAAGAGTAAATATGAGAAAATAGGTTAGTTTAAAAGTAGTTAATTACTTTATTAAGAGTAAAATTTGGTTAAAAATGTCTTATCTTTTTAAACTAAGGGAGTGTAATTTATGTTTGTTTTGTTAATTTTGAAATAATTTATGTTTACTAATTTTCATATTTTGTAGAACATTTAAGTAAAAATAACCATAAAATTCTTTGAACTGGAAGAAGAGAGAAGGGCAATCAGATTTGGGAGATAAATTAATAATTTTAAATTTCTTAACATGATTTTAATTAATATAATAAAATAGTTTATAATCTTTGACAAAATATTTCTCATCATGAACAGGTTTTGAAAATAAAATGGGAAATTTATGTTGTATTTTACTCTATATTTATGTAGAAATGATTAGAAGTATGTTTTCTTGTAAATAGAATAATGTTTTTCTATCCTTGGAAATGTAAAATTTACAAAGGGGAGACGCATGATGGGACAAGTATTTGTGTGCAGAGAATACACCAGCTCTTGCTTCAGATTGCCCATTTGAATGAAGCATTGTCGTCAAGGCGCAAGGTTCCTGTGCTCCGAGTCAATGCCTGATTACATTCATGTGAGTTTTCTGGTCTTACTTTGTCCCCACCATAACTAATGTCCTATGTCAACCATGTCTATAGGCGCTTCTTTCTTGGAATATACATATGCCTTACACAAATACAATAATGCTACTCAAGGACAATATGTCTAGCTAGTTTTCCCATTATATTTTTATTTGTATAATTATCAGTATTAATTATTTTTAATTGGTACTCGATCTTATTCAAAATGTAATCATTTTCTCCAGATTAATCTCATTCTCAAATATAAATAATTTAGTATTTGTGAAAGAAAATTACCTTCTTGCTCATTGTATATATTCGCCTGAATTTTTGTGTCTGTAAATTTATAACATTCTGTTCACTCATTATAAATTGAAACTAAGAGTGAGAAAGAAAAATAATACTCTCTCTAGTTCAAAATATAAGTATTTTCTCTCAACTAATCTTAGTTCAAAATATAAGTAGTACATGTGAATTTTTTTTCATTTTATTCCTTATATTTATTAACTTAAGATATTTCTATAAATGTATCTTTCACTCATCATAAAATATATTAGTGATTGAGATTATGGTTAAAAAGAGAAAATAATACATATTTTTATGAGAATGATGATTTTATTGGTATGCAAAAATTTTTCAAAAGTTACTTATATTTTGGGCTAGAAGGAGTATACATTTTCATGAAAATAAATTTGTTATTGGTATGCCTATATTGGGACATTTTTTCTTTAATTAAATTAAAAGGGAGAAAAAAGAGGAAAATTTGAATTGAAAATTAAAAATAAAAATGAAATAAAATTAAGAGCATATGACTAACAATAGACACGATAATGTATCTCTGGTTAAAAAAAAAAAAAAGACACGATAACGTATCCACAGTAGACAACTTAAATAGTTTTTCCACAAGTATATCCAATGACCAATATATTATTGAATTGAATTATTTTGGCTAAACTATGTATACATCTTAAGTGTATGAAATTATGTATCAAGAAAGTTATTTAAGTTATTTATTTGTACATAACGTGACTTGAATTTTCTAAACTAGCCTACAAAATGAGCCGTAAGTTGAATATAATGGCTATTCAACTTTGCAATACGAAAATCTAACTATTGAAATGATTTAAGAAAAAAATAAATGAGAAATAATTGAGATTAAAATCTTGCATTAAGTATTACTCCTTCTGTCTCAAATCATGAGATATTTTTTTTTTAAAAAATTATATATATAATTGAAATTTATTAAATACAGTTTATAATATTATTCTTTTTTTTATATAAATTTAAAAAAAAAGGACCTTTCTTTCTTTCTTTTTTTCTTTTTAGAAAACGACAAACTAATCCCTCAGAGGCAAAAAGGATCCAAGCAAAACACACTTGGGCCCAACCCACAAGAAAACGGACAATAAATCCTTCGATAATTAAATCCACTGTGACACCTCCAACGATGAGAGACAAGTTGTTGCTCCCGAAGAGGGTGATTCATAGGTAAGCTCCGTCTCCGGCCAGCTGAAAGGCATAGAAAAGAGAACGAAAAGTTCTCTAAGGAATGGCAAAAAGCCATGAAGCAGCAATAATCGTACGATATCCCAAAGAGCCTTAACAAGAAAACCTACAACATAAGAAGAGAGAATAAAACCAGTAAGACACAAGAAATCTTGAAATGGCACAAAGCCTTAACAAGTATAACCTTTAAAAAGGATAAAACTCAACCCAAGCTCAGCACCCGAAGAAGGAACAGAAAAACAAGAGACGGAGTAGCCTGACATAATAACCAACATTTATAACACTGCTCAATTCATAGATGAAACTATCGAACAGAAGAGGATCGGAGGAGGATTAAGAAAAGCAATAAGCCCCAAGTTGAATTTCCTAAGAGACAGAAACATGAGAAGAACCAACATAGAAACTAGGAAACAGGGCAAGGTAAGATAGAGCCGAATGAAAATGACGGTGGCAAAAAGAAAGAGGAATTCTTCATAAGGAGGCGAAACCCACAACTAGAAGACTAAGTATGTGGGTAGGAGAGAGGAAGGCGGTGGAAAATAGTGTAGGGAGAGATAGAGGGGTTAGATTTAGGAAGAAGAAAGAGAGACAAGCTCTCCAATAACAGCAAAGAGCAAAAACAAGGAAGAGAAGGAGGGGAAAAAAAAAACGAACAAAGGCAAACTAGAAGAGATGGTCACGGTGGTAGGCTGGTAGCAGAACGAGAGAGAGGGGGAAAATATATTTAATATTTTAAAGAATGATATGGCGTATCATTAACGAAGCCTGTAATTATTTTTTTTAAAAAAAAAACATGTTATATTTTAAGATATCAAATCACTTTTAGAAACATCTTATAAAATAAGATAGAAAGAATATTATATAAGTATCTAAAACAAAATGTAAAAGAAGTGGTTATTGCTGGTTTACAGTGCGTTTGTGAGATTATTTTTAGCGGTAAATTGAATTGGGTGGGATGACTAAAATGTTTGGCCATTATTCGAGAGTTTTTTTTTTTTTTTTAAATGAGGGATGGAATGATAAGGAAGAGCATCTATAGCTATCCTTTGCCATTAACAACTTGATTTTTTTTTTCCTTCCAAATCAGAGGGTCAAGGATAAAATAGCATTAATAATTATTTCATTTATAAAATTATTTCTACTATCCTATTAAAAATATCTCACATATTATTTTCATTGTCTTGCCATTTCTCTATTGCTACCCACCACATCTCTCTCACCTTTGAATGCTGTTAGGGGTGAACATCAATTTATTTGGTTTAATATTAAAATATGTAAAATCAATCGATCAAACAATACTAAACATGTACACCAGATTGAATTGAATAAGAATTGAATTAAAATTTAACAATTCAATTTGATGGATTAATTTAATTTTTTGACTTCATATTAGACTGCTTGGAATTGGGTTCATTTTTTAAATATTAAAACTAACAAGATTATAAAATTGGACTTTTTTTATATATAAATTTGGGCTTGATAAGAGCTCATTTTCAACATCTGATCTGACCAACTGTATTATGCTTCAAACTACAAATTGGTAGCAGAGAATGAAGGGGGAAAAGAAAAAAGGCCACCAAAGAAAAAGGCCACCCATTTTTCTGCATTCCAAATACATTTCAAGAAAAATAAATTTAAATAGGATAACAACAAATATATAAATTAAACATTCTTTTCCTTCACTTTGTATCCCATTCTTATCAATCTAACCAAACTCTAAAAATAAATGTAGTCTACAAAAACAAAAAACAAAAAAAACAAAAAACTTTTCAGTGAAACTTACCCATAACACATCAACATGTTTATTTATGACTAACTAATCAACCTACCTTTTGATGCTGGTACTGAATATGAACATTTGTGTTTTATTGGTCCTGGGACTTGATAAACAACAACATTGAGACCCAGTAAAATTAAAAAAAATTGCACACACAGAGAGCCACCTCAACAATCAATTAGCTTTGCAAAGTGACAGTTCCAGATTTGAAGCAGCACAGAGAACATGTAGTGAAAACTCTATTCTCTCTCCTTATGTGGGAAGTACTTTCGAATCATAATCACACTTTCCATTGCTCAAATGGCTCAGAACTTAACATGAAAGAGCTTATATTTCTGTGTCCCCCACCTACAAATTCCCAATAAAAGACCAAGAAACGAAATAAATATAGATCCCTTGTTTACAAGATGCACATAAAATGCAATGAGCAATAATGATATAGGAGAAACCTGAGAGATGGGAGTTGCATTTTCATTGCACAGACTCGTTAGACTTATTTTTAGCATATTGTCATTTCCAGGCTCTGGTACTTTATATACAACAGCTCCAATAGCCCTACAAGAGAAATGGAGGCCTTGACACCGGGGGTATCAAGTCTTCCTTGCTAGCTATGCAATCAAAGGGTATTTGAAGGTTCAAACAAATATATAAAGATCCATAGGGAAGAATTTACAGGAAAGTTGTTCATCCACAAGATACACATTCATAACTCTTTCCAGAGATCATGAAGCCTTTTACAACTGACAACAGTTAAGGAAGAAGGCAATAAACAGATACTTGGGCGCATAAAATCCAAACAGTTGAAAAAATCATCAAAATCATAAATAGCCACAGATAATCAAATAATGGCGCCATAATCTGGTCAAAGCTTGAAAGGAACAGACGGCATAAACAAAAAAGAGCATAGAAGCAGAGATAGAGACAGAAGACGGACCTCACAATGCTCGCACAATGACAAAGGCAGAGATTGAGCTGAGAGTGAGCGAGTGAGAGTCGAAAACCCGAGATCTCGACTGGGAGTGTGAGAGACTCTTCACTGGAGGAGACTGTGATAGAACAGACAACCTGAGATGTTGACGCGCCGAGAGAACAGATCAAGAACAGGAGCGCGTCGATTGGAAGTGTGAGAGACTCTCTTCAATCTTCGTTGAAGGAGTAAGAGTCAGGTTTGCGGGTGGGTTGTGGCGGTCTGCGACTGGTAGATAGCCAGAGATGAGAGCCTGAGACTGAGAGAACAGGGATGAGAGAACACGAGTCGCAACTCGCGAGTGGTGAGAGAACAAAGATGAGAGCTTGAGACAGAAATTAAATGAATGAGGGTTCGGGTTTTAAGGAACGTTTATCAGATCATGTTTTTATTTTTATTTAAATGTAATATTAATAAAATAAAATAATTAATCAATTAAATATAATTTATAAATTAATAAATTATATATAATAATTGAGTCAGTTCAATCTATTTAATTTTAAGCTGTACTAACAGAATCAAATTAATTAATTAATTTTTTTTAAATGAATCATGTTAAAAAATGAAATAGGCTAAATTAAATAATAAAAATTTAATTTGATTTTCGGTTTTAATTTAATTTTGGTCACCCTTAAATGGGACAACTCTATGCTCTTTTTACTGTGCACCAAATGTGCTTGCTCGAGTTGCCTTGTTCCTTGCTTTTTATTTTTATTCTTTTGTTTGAATGCACTGTTGTTTGAGTCATGATCTATTCATTGCTTTCTCTTTTTATTTTGTGTCATTTTGTCTGTCTCCTACATCGTTGCTTGTGTGGCAATGTGTTCCTTGCTTTTTTTTTTTTTTTTTATTATTTTGCTCCGCCAGGTTAATGCATTTCAGACCCTGTAAAATCCCATCCCATGCCCTTCAATTATACGCTGCCTCTCTCGCTTTCTTTGTTGGTGTGTGTCTGTGTTTATATATAATATTATATTATATATAGACAAAATATTGACGTTCTAGAAAACACTGATTGGATGCTCACAGAAGTGTACAAAAAGATCTTGATGGTTTTAATGTCTTTTGAGAATAATAATAATACATTCTAATCTGTAGATTTAAGTTGAAAACCAAGTTATTTTTCTTCTTAATTTTTTGAATACCTTATTTTCATCGTTAATTATTATTATTATTATTATTTGTTGAAAAAATATTATAGTTATTTAAAGCGCATTATTATTCTATTTAAATTTACTCATATGGATAATATTTAAAAAGTTTTAATTCATTTTGTCTAATTTATTTTATAATCATTCCAAACAGGTTATGTAAAACCATTTCTTTCTATAAAAAATTCTCAAATAATAAAAAATTTTATTTCATTCTGTTTCATTCTGTTTCATTCCGTTTCACTTTATTAATAACCATTCTTTTTACTTAATACTAGATTCCCAAACATACTCTTGGTGTCAACGGGCCAAAAGTTTCACTTAATCAAACTAGTTTCTATATTCAAGATAAATTAGACTAAATTACATTATACTCCCTCTAATTTTATAAGTAAATTACTTTCAATTTATTTTATTAGAATCAAGAAGATAATCATAAGCTATTGATAATGTCTAAAAATTTTTAATTTATCCTTATTAAGTGAATTATATTTAAAAAAAAGTTCTCTCTGTTTTCATTAAACAAAGCAGGGGGGGACACTGTTACCCTACAATACAAGAATGAAAAGAGCAAAACTTCCTAGGAAAGGAAAAACGAAGACCAATGGACAACACAAGAGCTGGTTTGGAAATGTGATAAGCTTCAACATTGCCTTCTCTATAAATGAATCCAAGATCAATAGTTGAATATCAAGGAAATTTTGGCACTAAGAGATCAAATCTCATTGAACATGAAAATCTCTCTCTCTCTCAACTTGTTTTATTATATGTATATTTTTACTCTATTGTAAGGAAGAATTAAAAGAAAATAATTAATAATCTATTTTTATATAAAAATAACTTGTAAAAACACCCTTAATTACTTTTTAAGAAAATAAGCTTTGCAGGAGGGGAGGAGGCATGTGACATTACCTGATATTCGAGGAGCGGGGAATGAGGATTCATGTTCAATTCGACTTCGATCATCGTTCTTCAGATGACTCCAACTTGAAGCCCACGTGTGGAGCATCCATTTTCCTTCACGTGGACCCATCCTTCAGATGAGAGAGAAAAAAATCCCCCCAGATTCTGCTTGAGATTCACATTTCCCATTTTTCTTCTTCCTCCTCCTTTCTTCTTCCCTTGTCCGCACTCCATCAACTACCACCTCGACAGTCCTTCACGGCGAGAATTGCTCTTATTTCTCTTACTTTCTCTTCCAAATTAATCCAACTTCATCACTTGACAGAATCCGCCTGCGAGCTTCGTGGATTGAAGAATTCGTATATGCCCAACTGAGCAATTCGAGGCATTCAATCAAATCAACCAAATCCCATGGATTCGCTTTCTTCGGTTTCGCCGTCCATGGTTTTACCTCCCAGTAACCTATTTCATCGTCAAGCACGGAGAATTCATCTGTTTTCTTGTAATCCTCGTAGTCGTATTCCGAGGCTCGCTTCAGTATGGCCTAAATCACATAGAAGGCGTTTGAAACACGTATCCTGCAACCTGGGTGGTGGAGAAGGTGTTAAAGGAGAAGACGACGATGGAAGCGAAGAGGTCGAGAGGGCCCTTCATATGGACGGGACCATTCCTGGGACTTCCAACGAGTTTCTGAGGCGGGTTTCGTCACGTGCTTATGACATGCGAAGACATCTCCAGCAAAGTTTTGATAGCAGCAGCTACGACGGTACGGTTGGGACTCGTTTTTCTTCGTTGCCTTCAATTATCTTATCTGGTTCCGATTCGGCAGATATTTGTTCTGTTTGCTTGTGGTCTTAGCTTTTTATTATGCTTATTTTCCTTATGGATCGTATTTCTAGTCTCAATTGCTTTTGTTGGCTGGCTGGCTAATGGTTATGATGTTTCCTATATGATGTCATGTTAATTGCCTTCCCAATTTCGTTTAGGCAAACCCTATTCAAAATCAACTTAACTGCACTGTATGAATAACGTATGCTTCAAAGACAGTTTTATTGTGGCTGGTAGATATTCGACGCTACAAGATATGACATGATACTTCCTCACGACGGGAGCAGATTCTCTCCTGCTCCTCCCTCCTGTTCTCTGAGAGCAGGATTTTTTTTTAATTTTTCTTTTTCTTTTTGAATATAAACTGGAAATGCATTCAAATAATGAAGAAACAAGAAAAAACAAAGTCATACAGGGAGCCAATCTTTCATCATTCGCCTCCTTCAGAAGCTGGGGAATGATCAAAGATACAAAAAGGGCTCTCAATATTGTGTGCTTTTCTTGCTAAAGAGTGCGCTTTTCCTACAACATCCCTGTAAACAAAATTGATAGAAACTACCCAGTCCCTATTAATAGTATTACAGACATTATAAATAATATCACAGTATGGGCGCTCCAGGCTGTAGCCTCTAGTGATGAGATTGATTGCTTCAATGCAATCAGAGTATGCTTCGATCTGTTTGAATCCTTTTGCCCAGCACAGGTTGACTCCTGTACCTATAGCCATAAGCTCTGCTATAGCTGGAGGAAAATTCCCTAGTGTACAGCAGAATCCAAAAATCCAGTCACCATTATCATTGCTAACTTGACCTCCACATGTAGCTGTTCCATTTTCTTTAACTGACCCATCCACATCTATCCGATCCATTTTCCTTAAAAAATCCTGCCCTTGCGAGGGCAGGATGGAGCAGGAGGTCCTGCTCCCCATCAAGACGTACGCTGTATCTGTTTCACGTTTGGTGTCACTTACATTGAATTTAAATCTCGTCACTTCAATGGCTACATAATTTCCCGTCTGCTTTTGCTAGAAGAAAATAGTGCAAATTTTAGATTATGTCACACCCCTTTTGTGTTTTGAAAGGGTCTATGAAGATTGGTTTTAATTTTTTTGGTAAAGAAAGAGGGCCTAAGGCCCATAGGTTGTTATAGTTCTTTATTTCTGTTCAGAAGTGGACCTTTCAAACAATTCTGACATTTATTTCCTATGCATTATGATTGTTTAAAATATTCTCATGCTTAGTGTGTCTTTCCCTTTCTTTTTTGAAGACCTAAAGAGATTTCTCTTGGAGATAGAAGTTTCAATCCTCCCTGCAATGGATACGTACTCTATTAGTTTAATTAATATAATTTATTATAATGGTGTAAGACAGATTGTATAATAGTTAGATCAAGGCATACTAAGATTGATTTAGTCCAATTGTAATGTCTCTTAGTTAACAACATTTCAAAAGCTTGGTATATAATAGATCATAATAGCCTCGTACAATCTATGTAGCCAACCCCACTTAAGGGGATAAAGCGTGTTGTTGTTGTAACTGCCTCTTTCTGTTGTGATACTCTACTGTCTGTATTACCCTTTGTCAGTATTCCCTTGTATTGATGAGTCTTCTCTGTGCTTCTTTACAGTTTTTCACTGTAGGCATTTATGGCAGTTGGTCGTTTTTGGTATAACTTCACCTGGAAAATATTATTTCATGATGTATCATGTATGTATAACTTCACCTGGAAAATATTATTTCATGATGTATCATCATGCATGTAGTATGCCGACTCGCTGAGTTACAGTGGAGAAAATATTTTGGATTACCTTCCTAGTGTTTGGGTCTGTCGTGATTCTCTTGGCTTTTCTTGTAGAAAGCATCAATATTTCCCCATCTTATTCATTCTTCTCTTCAGTTTTAGATGCCAACCCATGGAGAGAATCTTCAAAGCCTGTCTATGTACTCACCCAAAAGGAAAATCAACTGTGTACAATGAAAACCCGCAGAAATAGAAGGTTTGGATCAGTTTGTTGTGTTCTTTTCCTCCTGATTAGATTGGCAAATTTTTCTGCCTGAGTTTGGTTTCTTTGTGACAGTGAAGTTGAAAGAGAGCTTGGATTGTTATTTTCTAAAGGAGGTAACTGGAGATCTGGGATTGGAAATCAGTCCAAGTCCAAACAAGCAAGGGGTGGGACAAAATTTACAATGCTTGTGGAAGATATCAGAGAAGGAGTGCTGGTAAGTATTTATACAAAATTCAGGACTAAACTCCTCCCTCATGCTTACTGTTCATCTAATTGCTTTGTTAAAAGCTGGCAGCATTTGGCGTACAAATTGTGTTACTGTTTTTTGATATTAGTCTGATATGCTACTAGATTAATTTATTCTTAATCTGTTGTATCACTGTAAAAAAGCTGGATCATGTTACTATAGTTATTGCACTCTTATTCCAGTGAAGCAACCATGTCTATGACGTTGTGGACATGCTTATAGTAATATACTAAATTTGAATCATAACATTCGAATGCCTCAATGAATCCATTATGGTTGCAGGTATTTGAAGATGAAAACGAAGCAGTAAAGTATTGTGACTTGTTACAAAGGAGGAGGTCAAGGTTGTGAAGGCGTGGCTGAGATCGAAGCCTCATCGTATAAAAAAAGAGCAATAATTCTGTGGTACGCTTCTCTGTTTACTGAAATCTTTACCATAAGTTATCTCCTTTTATTCTGCAGGTATTTGATCTATGCCAGAGAATGAGGGCACTTGCTGTTCTGTTCCCGGCGAGGGGGACACCTCCTCTAACCGGAAAGTTTGAAGCTCAATCTGAGAGCCCGAAAAGGTCTCTTGAAGATCAAGATGACTTGATTTGAAATTCTAAATTCCGTGTGGTGGAGTCAGCATCCGGATGCTTATGCCCCAGAAAAAAGAAAAATATATGAAAATTAGTTATTGAAGCTGAGGAACAGATCCTACTTGCTGAATATTTTAATAATTGAATGTATATACCATGTACATTGATGCTCATTTTCAAAGTTTGGCTTTTGATTTGAAATCTGAAGCCATCTTGTGAGTTACAGGTTAAAAAATTCTGACGAATCTGAATAAATGGGAAGCTATTGTTTTGAAAGTACTAAATCTTGTGGACGTGTGGTTGTTGGGGTCAACGAGGAGGACTTTCATGTTTACTTTTCAATTATCGGACACTATAAAGTAAAGATTGACGCAGCCCATAAAATTTAATAATATGATAAATCTGATCTTATCTTTTTCTCTCTATTTCTGTTTTATTTCTTACGCTTAAAATTATAAAATATTTTTAAATAAAATTTTATATATTAATAAATTTTATTAAATATATTTAATAATTCTATTTTTTCAAATAAAAATATAAAATTTTAAAAATGTTTATAATTTAATTTATTAAAAAATAAAAATTAATTATAAAAAAATATATTAAAATAATATATTTAATAAAATATTAATTTATTTTAAGTGTTTTATATTTTGAGATAAAAAATTTTATTAAAAATATTTTATAATTTTAAATATTGAGAGTATTTTATAAAGCCCATCCCCTTCCTAAATTTTCCCTATAGCCATGCATTATGCATATAATAATAACATCTATACGACAAGCAATAAATGCATAGATACTGATAATGCGTGTTCAACTCTAGCATTGACAAATGACAACTATGCCAATTTGCAATTTTATAAGATTCATGTTGTTTTTTTTTAATCTTTAGTATTAGGACGTTTGGAACGTTGATAATGATCTCCAATTCTCTATATCTATCTCATTATTGGAGTTGTGGCCATCGCTAACCATTGAAAAAGCAACATCCCAACGAAATATTTATAATAAATAAATAAATAATGAAAGAATAATGATCTATATTGAAACCAAACCTAATTCAGGTCATTTTTCAATATAATTAGGGATAATGAGCTTTCAGTCTGTTAAATTTGTTTCCCTTATTAATTTAGTCTTTTAAGTTTAATTTTTATCAATTTATTTTTTATATTTTTTTAAATGATCATTTGATTTCTTTTTAGTTTTTAAACACATATTCACTTTTAAAATAATCTAATATGTAAGTAGATTGATGACTTGACTTGTATGCTAGCCAAATAAGAACAAATTAACCCTTAAATTAATTTAAGTTTTATCAATATAATTCCTAATATTGTGTTTTGTTGTTTTTTAATTTTAAAGTCTTTTTTTCTACTAACTGAATAATTATTCTTCTTTACATTTATCTATATAGTTGTTATTAGTATTTGTTACTCATGTTAGTAAATTTTAATAGTGATACTTCATTTTTAAATTATTAAGACAAATTATAATCGAGATAAATTTTAAAAATTAAATTTAAAAATTAAATTAATAAGTAAGATAAATTTAAGGCATTAAAATTTGCATTATTTATAATTATTATCGATATAAATGAAATAGTATAAAACTTGTGGCTTATTTATGAAATTTAAATTTAATACTCCCATGCAGCACAAGAGACCCGCTAAATGGTAAACACCAAAAGTTGTCACACAGCCATTGGTCACCCAACTATGAGTAACGGTGAAGACAATATGAAAAGTTGTGTCAGTGTCACGTAGAGTAGAATATGCTCTACAGCTACAGAACACGCAAGAAAGAGGAAGAGAGAAGAAAAGGTTAAAAGAGAGTGGCTTCGCAGGTAATAAATAATTTGTAAAGACAGAACACAGAATCAAATACTGTTGAATCAGTAAAAAGCAGAAAAACGGATAGAGAAAGCAGAGCCCGCTTTCTGCTCTGTACATAGAGATTTTCACAATATACATTCCAATCTGTACTCTAAAAATAGCATTCTCAAAGAACCAACCGATTAACCGTAATAACGATCGTGCTCGGAAATCACACCCGTGAGCACGCGCCAATTCTGGAGAAGTAGATTGATCTGATCCGTTTAGTGAGGACATGAGCTCCGACACGTCCACTGGCGGCGGTTCTTCCAGCGGTTCTTCATCGGCGGCGGGCAGGGACAAGAAGAGGGGGAAGGCTAAAGTGAGTCGCACTTCAATGATACTATGGCATTCGCACCAAAACGATGCCGTCGCTGTCCGGAAGCTTCTGGAGGAAGATCCGTCGCTTGTGAAGGCCAGAGACTACGATAATCGCACTCCACTTCATGTGGCTTCCCTCCATGGTTGGATTGACGTTGCTAAGTGCTTGATTGAATTTGGCGCCGACGTTAACGCTCAGGATCGTTGGAGAAACACTGTATTGTTCTCTTTTTCACCTAATTTTTGCTCTCACTTTTTTCTGTGTGTGTTTGTGGTTATGAATAATTGAAGTTTCATAACTCTTTGAATGCGTTAAACTTTTTTCCTCCCCTTTCTTGATAGCCTCTAGCTGATGCAGAAGGGGCTAAAAAGTATAGCATGATGGAGCTTTTTAAATCTTATGGAGGCTTGTCTTATGTAAGTCCGTAGCTTCTCTCTCTTTCGAATGTACTGGGAATATGAAGATGCTCTTTCTGTTTTGTTGCACCTTTATATATTTGAATGTTCTACGTGCTTTAGATGGTCAGAGGTTCATCAGCGCTCCCTCTTTAGGAAATGCTTTTCCATTAGATACCCTTTCCAACTTGCAGTTCGTTGCAGCAAGCTACAACCGACTACCGTACAAGCGGCTCTCCATTTTCTTGTTCCTTGACTTATGTAGTCATTATTTTTGTCTCGAGTGTCAGAATGTTCTGATGCAGACCATTTTTTATCTACGTTTTCACAAAATCTGAATGTCCACTCTTCCAGTAATCTTTTCTGTGCAGTTTATAGCGGGATCTTGCCGTGTTCCGTCATCTCTGCTTACTTTCAGATATTACCAAGAGCAGACCAAATTCTCTTATCATGACTTCTGCCATCTCCTGTGTGTTGTGGAGTCATTTAGTTACACTAACATTGGGGAAAATCTGGGATTTTAGTTGGATGCCATGGGGAAAAATTATGATGAGTCACTAAGTCTAAATTTTGAATTCTGTACAAGCATTTCTTAATCCTTGTTAAGTCTCATAAGATGGGACATAAGGTATAACAAGCTGCATGCATGAAATCCGTGACATTTTATGAGAACCTTTTTTTTTTTTTGGGAAAAATCATGAATATGATGAAATTAATGATTCATATTGACTGATATGTTTTGAATGTGAGAACACTAACAAGGAAGGCAAACTATGAGCAGTAAAAAAATTTTATTTTCTTTCGTTCATAAACAATTTTGCTTAACTAGGAGTTATATAATTCGTTCATAAAGTTGTCGGAAATGTGTTTTTAATATTCAGTAGTACATTCTGGTCATATATCCTCCTAGTTCAGAGCGATTTCAGTTTTTGTTTGTTCTTGGGTTTTTGGCAATGCTAAGAAGAGAAAGGCTTTATGGCAGTGTGCAATCTATTCTGTTTTATGTTGTATAAGAATGAGGGATATGGTGCTGTTATTTTTAAGAATCATTTCTGGCTAGTAGGATTGTTATAAAATGGGATTGTTTTTTATGGACTCCCCTTGGTGCTTGGCCATGATAATTTTAAAGTAGTCGTCTTCTAGCAGAAAGAATGGGGAGATATATTTTATCGATGATCCTATACCTTAACGTTTTATGTCCAGCCCATGCCACTTGACAACTATGGGAATTCTGAAATTAATTGCTTCTGAAAGAACTTTTGACGTCTGATTGATTTATTTCTTTATTATTTATTAGTGTTTCTGAATCTTATATATGATGGCACAGGGCCAAAGTGGCAGCCACACTGAACAGAAGCCCGTTGCACCCCCATTGCCTAACAAGTGTGATTGGGAAGTCGACCCTACTGAGCTGGACTTCTCGCATTCAGTTCGTATTGGGAGGTGTCTTGACATTCTCTTGCTGCTTGCACATTGAATGCATCAAGACCATACCAACTGATTTGGAACCTTAAAATGTGCATTGGTCAACTTTTTTTGTGCAGTAAAGCATTGGGTTTGCACTTGTTTCATATCATGCTTAGTCCTAAGATTTTAATTTTATTATGCTTCAAGACATAGTAATTGCACATTTTATGGTTGTAAGGCTGCCTTTTACCAATAATGCAATCTGCCATTTCGAATTCAGTTTATTTGCAGTAACCTTTCTGAAGTTGTGTTTCTTTTCTTTAGCTTTTCCATTGTTTATATTGTTCCCCCTGTATATTGCACTTCATTGTTCATTTTGTACAAGATACTTTGGTTTTCTTGCATCAATTGACTTTTAGTTTGCACCCCGACTCTCCTGCTGTTATTCTTGTGCTTTTGCATAGCTGTTTATATCAACTTGTATTTTGCAATTACACTGTTGATGAGCTAAATTAGCGTGCAAAATTAGTTTTACTGGTGATGTATGCTTCCTTCAGGGATCTTTTGGTGAGATTTTAAAAGCCCATTGGCGTGGGACGCCAGTTGCTGTTAAACGCATTCTTCCATCTCTTTCAGATGATAAATTGGTGATGTAAGATTTACTCGCCATTCTTTTGCTCCTATTATTTTTCTCCTAACGAGTTTGTGACTGATATCTGGAGACGTAAGACTCAAATACCATCTGATTGCATGTGATTGAAGAATCTGTTAAAACTAAAGCCTTGTTTTTACATGTCATCTTTCAAGTTTGGCTCGGGGCAATAGGGAACCAATTCAAAGATGACATTAGGTTCTTGTTAGGT